TTATACTCCTTATACTTTAAATACATAGTTGGTAGAATACTAGTTAATATATTAGCTATAGATCTATAGATATACAGATAGATATATACTATTGAGAGCAAGAAAAGAAAACTTTAGAGATAATGGAAAACTCAGTGGTTTAGTTTAGTGTTTTTAACCTAAGATGGTTAGCTTTTCCTCAGCCACAGAAGTAGAAAACCCAAACAAACACGAGTTTTCTTCTCAATTCTTAATTGGAGTAAGTGAATCTTGGGGTTTGGTTAAGTGAGTCATCCAGAGGCATTTTGAACATGTGGTACAGATCTAGAAAAACAACCAAAATTCTCTTTAAAAAGAATGAAAATTAGTTTTATCCCCTTGAAATTAGAAATAGCAGGCACAAAGAATAGTTAAGGTGTGGATTAGTATTAGCTCAACCAAAATGAATAATTGAAAGAGAATTGAACATCAACTCACTGAGGCCTTATTAAAAGAATGGGAGAAAGAAGAGTCTGAAACACCAAAGTAAAATGGAATTGGTATCCCACCTGTGTGAGCAAGACTGATTCTCAGTTGATTAGAGTTGTCAGCTTCTGCCCTTGTCAACTCCAATTTCCACAGCAAAATCCACTTGAGGCTCCCTATCTGGAGGCTCAGGCCCATCTCGGTTCCAAAGCACTCCTTTTACATGTGGAAAGTTTATCGGCAGCTTCTGCTCCATTTGCTTATGGAATTTAGAATTAAATTCTCCTCCTCAGATGAAGCATTTAGTGGCCCAGCCATGACTACCTGCTCCCGTGTATTCTTCTACACCACAGTGTTTTCTCTGTATTGAGCCAGAGTAGCTTTCAATACAATCTGTCCAGTTTATCTACCTAATGCCTGACTACTAAAAATCCTTTCCTGAACCCTTACCAGTAACTGGAAATCCTGTTACTTTGCTTAGCTTCTTTTGCCAATCTGCCTTGTGCAGCTTTTATTTCCTGTACTCTTTATCTGCACACAGTTGTCCTGCACACAGACAAAAATGCCTTGCCATTTTTTTTCAGTATTTTGCCAATAGAAGGCCTGTCTACCAAAGGAGATTAGATAACTGGGTTCAGAATAATTAATCCAGTTTTAATATTGGGGAAGCCACGAACATTTTGTGGGCAAAATTCAAAGATTAGTTGTTGTTTCTCATTGGAATGAAAAAATAAGATTAAATAAAAGGCTAATAATTATATGAGTCTTTCACCTTCTTACTCAATGATAACCTTGTTGACAAAGTTGAGAATAAATCATATACATTGCTTGGCTTAATACATCAGAGTATAACAAGCAAAACTTTGACTATAGTATATATGTAAAGACTGCTGATGTAAGTATTGTTATGAAAACCTGTTGTTATTTAGTGTTTTATCTAGTGTTTTTGTTCAAATGAGTTCTCCCATTGCTGAGAATCGAATGCCATGTTGATGTCTCTCCTGTGGTTGTTTCTCAGCATTGCAGAACACGCCATGCTACTTGGAGTTTAATTCACCATAGCCTGAGAGCCTTTCTTATGAGTTAACGTCGTTGTAGCTCCCTATCTAATAGCTGATTTTTACCTTTTAGCGTGTCTTTTCTTTATACATCCAGCGCAAAAATCTATTGTGGTGAATATTCCTTAAGAGCAAACAGTTTACTCTAGGACTTTATGTTACTATTTTTTAAGTGGTATGTGATATATGGGTGAGTCTCATGAAAGCTAAAATCCCAGTTACAAATGTAGCATAAAGACTGATCTAGCCACATTTGGAGCCTTGATGACATGGCTGTGAGGATAGTTGGAGATCCTGATTATACTTTAACTTGACCTCTTACGGGTACTATGCTGAATCAGAATGTCAAACATAAAGTTGTTAACGTGTGAATAATATTGACTTAGTTCAAATAAGATGTTCACATTAAGAGGATAAGATGAGAAGTCTGAGTCAATGAAGTAAAATGTGACAGGTTATATTAGCAAAACAAATAAGAATGAGTTACCTGAAACTATCACGCTATGCTCTTATCATCTTCTGTTTGTCACTGCTGGAACTGCTTTTGCAGCTCTAATATTTCTTCAACATTTTCACAGTTGAATTTAACAAATTAAATTAGTAGTAATTATTACAGAGGCATGATGATGTGAGGCAGATTCTTTCACTGTATAAACAATATGGGAATAGATAGTCCTTTGGAATTATCATTTGGTTTAAAGAAATGTCAATTTATTACACTTATTATTCTCAATTTTCTAGGCGATAACTGTTGTTATTTAGCTTTTCAATATAGGGGAAGAATAATAATGCTAAAAGTAACTTTCAAGTGCCGTATTTTGAATGAAAAGAACAGGTAGAATCTAAAAGCTTAAGTCTTTAATTTCCTATTTAGAGTTGGCATTGATCTCAGAATTACTCACAGTGTCCTGAATCCATAAAAAGGCAAACTTTACAGTTTAATCTTTTCAAAACAAGTTATTTTAAAGATCAATATCACATTTTAAATGACTTATCCAGAATTTATTTCAGTAATGCCATCTAGTGTGTCCCATAGTTTGGCATACAAAATAGGTATGGATTTAACACGTTTTATATGTTTGTACTTATAAAACAATTTATTCCAGGGAGTACAGGGACATTTTCATGTCAGTAAAATGTTGAACTAATGAATTTTTGAGTAAAATAATTTTTTACTACTTCACACTCACAAGGGTGGCTATAATCAAAAAGAGACAATGATAAGTTTTGATAAGGATGTGGAGAAATTACTACCCTCATAATTGCTGGTGAGAATGTAAAATAGTGCAACCACATGGGAAAGGAGTTTGGCAGTTCTTCAAAAAATTAAAACTAGAGTGACCGTTATAACCTAGCAGTTCTTTTCCTAGTAATATAACCAAGAGAAATGAAAATATATTTACACAAAAACTTGTACACACATGTGCATAGCAGCATTCTTCATAGTAGCCAGAAAGTGGAAACAACCCAAATGTCCATCAGCTAATGAATGGATAAACAAAATGTGGTATATCCATACAATGGAATATTTTTCAGCCATAAAAAAGAATGAAGTACTAATTCATGCTACAACCTTGAAAACATCAAAAGGCCACGTATTATGTGATTCCATTTATATGAAATGTCCAGAGTAAGCCAATCCGTAGAGACAGAAAGTAGATAAGTAGTTGCCAGGGCCTGCGGGGAGAGGAGAAGGGGGAGTGGCTGCTAAATGGACATGGCATTTCTTTTTTGGGGTGACAGAAGCATTTTGTAATTAGATAGTGGTGATGCACAACTTTGTGAATATGCTAAAAACTATGAAAAGTGAATTGCACACTTTAAAAGGGTGAACTTTATGGTGTGTATTACATTTCAATAAAAAGATTATCGCTGTTTGCTTGTCCATATAAAAAGATATTTTTTAAATTAAATTGTAAGAAGTTTTATATATATATAATTAATGCTAGGACTTTCTAAAAAGTTAAACATACAAGCTGACATTCCTCTTAAAGCCTTGCTATATATTAAGTAATGTATATCAATATGCACTGAATGGAACTTCCACTAATTTGAATGTGAGATGCTTTTACCAAAGATAAGAGTGCCAAGAGTAAAGTAGACTATGACAAATATCTAATGCCTGTCTTCTCCCCTCATACTTTGAATGTTATTGTTATTGTCACTTACAAGAGTGAAATGACCTTTAAAAAACATTTGAAAATTTATCTTACCTCAATGTCAGAATATCATGTAATATCATTGATATAGAGTCAAATATGGCTAGAGTCAAGACCCAGTCTGAAATTTACTAGCAGCTTCTTCCTTTCAAATAAATTATTTGATATCCCTGAGCCTCAGGTTCCTCATCTGCGAAATACCTAATAGGGTTGTTCTAAGGATTAAATGAGATACCATGAATGAAACAGTCTATGCTTTCTGCTTCACTGCCCTACACATACTGTTGTTTCTTCTCCCTAGAACACTTCACACCCCACACTTCCTCCTGCCACCCACACGTAAACACATACCTATACAAAGCAAGTTAGGTCTCCTTCCTGTATGTTCCCATTGAACCTAGGGATTACCCTCTTGAAGCACTTACCATATTCTGTTCAATTTTCATGTTTATTTGCCTGTCTTCTCCAGATAACTAAGTTCTTTAAGGGGAAAAAAACATATTTTGTCTACCATTGTATACATAGTTACCTGGCGTAGTGGGTAGCTCAATAAATATTTGAATAAATGAATTTTAATAACATATCTAGCCTTATACTGGGTTCATAATAGCTCCATGAAAAGGTCTAACATGTCTATGTTTTGCTTTCTGTTAGAACATAATCAGCCTGAAGCATTTTCAAGTTTATAATATGTGGTGCTTTGTACATTAAATGGAAATGTTTTTATTACTAGTTACACCTATCCAATGAAGAGAATGTTCCTTATCTGTGTTGTAATAGACTACTTGTTATATATTTATCTTTGAAGTTTGTACATTGTTTTCTTGTAATATCCAAATATGTGTATTTACTAATTTAAAATTTTATTTTACAAGTGTCTCAAGAATTTGCAGTTTAACGTGCATATTTCATACCATTCTTCTCCATCTGACATTAGACTTAGAATGAAATAGCAAGTTTGGAAACAATGCTGTAGATTTAAGAAGGCCTATGAAATATATAGAAGTTAAATCGTTTTAAGCAATATCACTGAAACTTGCTCTTACCATTTTTTGTTTTAAATGTCTTCCAAAATAATAATAATAGTAGGCAACAATTATTTTTAGATGGAAGGAATGAAAATAAGGAGGCAATAGAGAGAGTTTAATTGGTATAATTTGTTCTCTAGACTTAGCATATTTCCTTACATATGCCTATCTAAATTATTTACAAAAGCTTTGCTGAATAAATATGTTATTAACGCATAATAATAGGATGTGGAAAAAGTAGAAATAATGTTTATGTTTGTATAAATTATTGAGATTTCTTTAGAGTCTCATAACCATTCTGCTTCTTTCAGGTACAGAGAACTACAACTTAGTACAGAAAGCAAAGTAACAGAATTTCTCCATCAAAGTAAATTAAAATCTTTTGAAAGTGAGCGTGTTCAACTTATACAAGAGGAGACTGCAAGAAATCTCACACAGTGTCAAATGGAATGTGAAAAATATCAGAAAAAATTGGAGGTACATGTACAAGCTTTTCTTTTAAAATTAGCATAGTCTATAAGGTTGATAAATACAAGGTCTATATCATATTGAGCTTTATTTCTCCTATAGGACCTGGCACCATCCTGCACACACACACACAAAAGAAATATGTATTTCAGAAAGATGTATACCAAAAAGGACTGGAATTGTTAGAAAACAAAAAAATGGGAAAAGATCTTATTCACAATAGCAATCAAAAATATATAAACATTTGATTTTTTTGTGTGAGGAAGATCAGCCCTGAGCTAACCTCCAGGCCAATCCTCCTCTTTTTGCTGAGGAAGACCGGCTTTGAGGTAACATCTATTGCCAGTCCTCCTCCTTTTTTTTTCCCCAAAGCCCCAGTAGATAGTTGCATGTCATAGTTGCACATCCTTCTAATTGCTGTGTGTGGGACGCAGCCTCAGCATGGCTGGAGAAACGGTGCGTCAGTGCCAGTAGCGGAGCGCGCACACTTAACCACTGAGCCACAGGGCTGGCCCCTGAAATGTTTTTAATAAGAACAGTACAGAGCCTATACCAAGAAAAGCATAGAACTTAACCATCTTTCTGTAAGGGAATATTCAATATTATATATTTTTCAGTTTTCATCAAGTAATATTATATATTCATTTCTAATCAAATGCTAGCATGGTTTTTTTTTTTTTTTTTAAAGATTTTATTTATTTATTTTTTCCCCCCAAAGCCCCAGTAGATAGTTGTGTGTCATAGCTGCACATCCTTCTAGTTGCTGTATGTGGGACGCGGCCTCAGCATGGCCGGAGAAGCAGCGCGTCGGTGCGAGCCCGGGATCCGAACCCGGGTCGCCAGCAGTGGAGCGCGCTCACTTAACCACCAAGCCACGGGGCCGGCCCTAGCATGGTTTTTTTAACTGAACAAAATAATTCTATAGTACAACAAAAAGAAAAAAACAAAGAACAATTGATATTTTTAAAGAAGATTTTTTTATAAAGAAATAATGAAAGGAAATATATATCATATTTAAAATGCATTCTGAGGCAAGAATAATTAAAACACAAAAGAAGTCGCTAAGTGGTACAAAGTACAAAACTCAAAAAACATTCACATAAATTTAAGAATTTTTTCATGATAAAGGTTATATTTCAACTCAATGGGGAAAAAGATGAATTGGCCAGTAAATGGAGCTGTGATAATCATTTGAATATTTAGAGAATGTAGTTGGATTTAGACCTCTCACCATGTACCAAAATAAAGCTCAGATAGATCCTAAGCTAAATGTAAATACAGAACCATAAAACTATTAGAAGTAAATACTGACGAAATTTTATATTATGTCAGTTTGGAGATTAATGTGTTAATCTATTGCTTAAAGCAGGGGAAGAAACAATGTAGGAAAAATAAGAAAACTTTTAACGCCTTCCGTGTGTTTTAAAAAATGTGGGGGCCGGCCTGGTGGTGCAAGCAGTTAAGTGCGCGCACTCCACTGCAGCGGCCCGGGGTTCGCAGGTTCGGATCCTGGGCGTGCACCCACGCATCGCTTGTTAAGCCATGCTGTGGCAGTGTCCCATATAAAGTAGAGGAAGATGGCCACAGTTGTTAGCTCAGGGCCCATCGTCCTCAAGAAAAAAGGGGAGGATTGGCATCAGATGTTAGCTCAGGGCTAGTCCTCCTCACAAAAAAAAAAAAACTAAACAATGTGAATAATATTAAAAGGCAAAATGAAGATTAAAAAATAATATTTGTGTTATGTATGAGAAAGAGCCTGTGTCCTTAGTTTTAAAAGATATCTTATCAAGAGAACATACCTTTTTCTATTCTAGATAAATAGGTGGAAAGAAGGAACAGACTATTTCTAAGAAAAATGCAAATTGCTAAGAAATAGATGAAAATATGTATTCTCCCTAACAATTAAAGAAATGTAAATTTAAACTTTTTTTACCTTTATATAGGTCTGTTTGTTGTTTTTAAAGTGCTGGCAAGAGTACCCTTAAATAGGAAATCTCATGCAGTCAGAAAATGGAATGTCCCTTCTGGAGGACAATATGATAATCTTTGTTAAAGTCCTTAGAAAATTAATCCAGTAATTTTAGTTAGGAGAATTTTACCTAAATAAATAATAAGAGATGCTTATAAAGGTTTATATTAATGCTGTACATCACAGCATTATTCATTATGGTGAATATTGGAAGTAACTTAAATGTCCAACAGTAGATAATTAAACAATTTTCAATTGTATATTATAAATTATATATTTTACTTTATTCATGCATTGTAGGATTACATGCAATCATTTTCTTGAATATTTTAGATTTTAGGGGAATACTTATTAAAAATTGAATGAAAGACGCAATAATGTCATTTACATGCTTAATTAGCTAATGATGTAAGTATTCATTAAAATAATCTCTCAGAGATTACATTTCTGAAAAGTACTCTGATAAGTAAAACTATGATTAACAAGATAAAGAGTCTCAGAAAGTAAAGCCTTAGGGGAAAACATAAAAAATGATACTAAATACATACATATTTAAAGAAACATAAGCAAAGATTGTAGATGGTATCTACTTCTAAAGCAAACCGGTGTTCAGCAATTAAAACTTTTTCATGTACCTTCTTCAGGAAACTGCTACAGCCATAATCTCCTACGGCAGATTCTCCCACATATTTTCAATCAGACCGTATTAGATTAGCTCTTATTTGGAATTCATTTGAAGTTATGTTTTCCATGGTTTAAATTTCATAATTGCTAGCAAAATGCCTTTCCTTTTCCTTTTCACATTGGATGACTGTTCTTAACAGTGTATCTTGGAGTGGGGTGAGGGGTGAGGGGTTATATATAGGAAGATAGAGAAGCACTTCCTCTCTCTCTGTACTTCTGAAACAAACATTTCACTAAACAATACTTTACAACATGCAGTGCTGATGTTTTCTACATCATTCTATTTTATTATTTTTAGCTGCTTGCAATGCAAATTGATTTCATGACCTCATAAAGATTGCAGCTTGCATTATGAAAACCACTCTTGCATAGACCTACCCACTTTGGTCTTTGAATGCAGACAACTAGTAATTATTGTGTTCTTTGGCATAAAATCTTATATAAACAAACACTTTTATAAAAAATACTATGATTCTAAAAACCCTGGTTGATAAAACTGAGACTTTAGGGGAATGTCTTTACATTTTCTCCTCTGTTAAACTAGAAGCCTTGAGAGAACAGGGACTATTCATTTATCATTGTGTCACCAATACCTAACACAGTGCCTTGCTCAAGGTGGATGCCCAATAAATGTTTAATGAGTAAACGAATGGTTTGATGAATGCTAATGTAGTACCATTGTTTGAATCCATTTTTCTAAAATATTAGAAAGTGTTAAGACAATTCTTATTTATAATGAATTGAGAGAAGTAATTTTTGTAAGTAAAGATTGTTGTAATTATGTACTTTTCTGGAGCTTTTACCCAATATTCTCATTGATTATAACTTGGGGACAATTTATTTTAATTCTTCTTAATTATCAATTGGCAAAGGCTCCCAAAACACTGGCTCTATATTTTTGTCTCTTTTTAAAGCAATTATTGACCTATAATTTTGTATTATCATTCATTTTGTATGTAATTATATATATTTTACATATAATTTTGTGTTATCATTCTGTTATTTAAGGGAGGGAAATATCCACTGTGAGAACTCGATATTTAATGGATTCCTAAAAGCAATTGACCTGTTTTATGCATTCCTATTTAAACTCAAATGTACATATATTGGTTTTTCCTGAAGAATCTTTAATATAATAGCCTTCTTTAGGTCCAATAATCAAGTTCTTTGGCTTTTCAGCAACAGTAATAAATTTGTTCATAGCAGCCACTTAGATAAATCCACAGTAAAAGGGAGTTTTCGCCATGGGGTAGAGAGGTGTTGAGAGAACCAAACCAGAAGTTTCTGGGGATTTCTCCTCTATGTTATGAAGAGAGAATTTTAAATTGTATCTCTTGATTTAATACTACATTTAAAATATCTTCTTAAAATACTTTATGAAATATCCCATCTTCAACATTTTGATTCTCTTATCTCTCTAGATATCGATTTCTACAGTTTTTGTTTGTGTGGTGTTTTTGTTGAGGGAAGTGGGGTACAAATGAAAACTATCAGCTATGCTATGGGAATAGTCATTTAACACTATCCTTACTGGTCTTCTCTTTTGACAGTGGAATCAATCAGTGTCATCAGCCACCAGATTCTTAATAAATTACATCCCAATATAGTGAACTCCATGAAAGCCCCAGATTGTTTCACTAAGCAGTGATTTTGTTATAATGAATTAATAAGTCTCTAGAAGACACATTCCCAGTTGGCAAGAATACAGAAGAAATAATGCTAAACATGAATTTTCTTTTTCCTACCCAATCAGGGACACTAGAGATCATCCTACAAATATTATTCCCGTGTTATTCTTTCTCCACCCTCCAAAGGAATGTATTCGGAGGGTGGAGGATAATGTTTAGTTTACTTTGGGGGGAAGTTTTGATGGAAATAATTGAAGGAAATGAGATGGAATAGATTAAGGAAAATTAAATTGTAATTTCTACTGGTTAAAAACTGTAAATAGATCTTCTGTTTCTTCTCCTTTTTCCACATCACAGAAAGCACAGAATCAGATACATTTATTAAGGTAAACTTTATGTCATTAGAGAAAATAAGATGTCTTCAAAATTGTTTAATTATAGAGAATTCAGGATAATTAAATCAGTGGATCTCTATGAGCTGTTTAATACAAAGTTCTCATAATTGTATTTCTTATAGTAGTGATAGTAGTTTTCAACACTTACTATGTTCTAGGTACTCTGCTAAACACTGAATTTATCATCTTATTTAATCCTTCCAACAATATTTTGGGGAAGGTCTGGAGAGGATAAGTAATTGCCTAAGATCACAACTAGTAAATGTCAAAGCCAGGAGTGAAATCCACATCTTTCTGGCTCCAAAACATATTCTTAATCGTAATATTTTATTGCTTCTCAGGAAATACTACATTACTTATACTGTGTTAGGAAGCAGGTGTAATACCACTCCATAATTTAGTCTGTACTATTAAGTAAACTTTCTAGATAATTGGAATTTAACACAGGCATTAAAACATTCTTTTGTCACTAGAAATGTCTCCTTTTTTAGTGAATTCATCATCATCATCAGTGAGTTACCATTGAAGAATATAGGATTTTTGTTCTTATACAAAATAACTTCAATTTCTATGCCTTTTTTAATCTCTTTTTTGTGTGTTTTTTTAATCCTTTTTTTCTATACAAAGACATTTTCTGACACTGCTCCAAGTAGCACTTCACATTTACATTTTGGTTTGTTGCTTTGAATTTTTCTGGTTCAGGAAACCAGAAATCTTATTAAAACCATGGTAAGAGTAGATGAAATAAGCTCTGATGGAAAACCAAAGGACTTGTTACGAGTATATCATTTTTACACACAGCTTTGTAAGCATTTCTCAAATAACTGTGATCACCAGATAAATGACCTCCATGGCATTATTGCATTTTTTGAATTCTAACAAGCAAATGCTAATCTTACTCCTATAACTATTTTTAAATTTTAAATTTGTTTTTTAGGGGCCGGCCCCATGGCTTAGCAGTTAAGTGCTCGCGCTCCGCTACTGGCAGCCCGGGTTCGGATCCCGGGCACGCACCGACACACAGCTTCTCCGGCCATGCTGAGGCCGTGTCCCACATACAGCAACTAGAAGGATGTGCAACTATGACATACAACTATCTACTGGGGCTTTGGGGGGGAAAAATTTGTTTTTTATTCAATTTATGTAATAAAGTGCTTTGTAATTTCCAGTTTAAAACAACTGAATTATTTACCTTAGAAGTAAATATATTTTACTTCCTCAGTCATCTCAACTGAGCTACTTTCTTTTCATATTTAAATCGTTAAAAAAGAGAAAGGAAACTAAAATTATTTTTGTGTCATGTTTTGGCTAACTGTTAACCTATTTAATTCTGCCTTTGAAATTTTTTTCTTCCACTATTAGGTTTTAACTAAAGAATTTTATAGTCTCCAAGCCTCTTCTGAAAAACGCATTACCGAACTTCAAGCACAGAACTCTGAACATCAAGCAAGGCTAGACATTTATGAGAAGTTGGAAAAAGAGCTTGATGAAATAATAATGCAAACAGCAGAAAGTAAGTCTCCCACCACCCCACATGCACAGCTTTGTTTTCTGGTGGCAGAAGGAACCTGGTATCATTTCTAAAACTGCTTTGGTGTATTTCTTTAAAATATAATTGATGACTTTTTTTAAAGAATATTTTATATTTTAAAAATTAGTTAATCTTAATTCCAGTAGTTGGGATCAAAAAAAAATAAATTAACTATGATAGATTTCATCTTTTTATTTATTTAGTTCACTCATTCAACAATTATTAAGTGTTTACATATGCCAGGATCTGGGGATGTGGAGTTCATGCAATAGTCCTTGCTTATAGGGGTTCCTAGTCTAGTCTACTGGGAGAGACAAGCATATTAACAGATAAGGTAGTGAGATAAGTGCTATTAGTAAGAGACAGGCAGTTCTTTGTGGAAGTACAAAAGAGATAATGAGTTAATTCCACCTTGGAGATGAAGAATACCTAAGAGGGGAGATGACACTTGAATGAGTCTTGAAGAGCAGATAGAAATTCATTGAATAGGGCTGGCCCCATGGCTTAGCGGTTAAGTGCGCGTGCTCCGCTGCTGGCGGCCGGGGTTCAGATCCAGTGCACCGCTTCTCTGGCCATGCTGAGGCCGCGTCCCACATACAGCAACTAGAAGGATGTGCAACTATGACATACAACTATCTACTGGGGCTTTGG